ATTGGGTAAGGTTCTCAAATGTAAGATTTTCGTTTCTTATCATGTTAACTCAGCAAGGTGTCTGACACCTGATAAATGCTTAACCTAAACAATCCTTATTTACTAAATAAAAATTGGGTTGTTTTTCTTGGACACGATTAGAGAGGGCCAAAAATCAGTTCCGGGTCAGGACCAAATCAGTGACGGTCCCAATTTGCCTTTCCGTAACTGGTCCAGGTTCAGGTCCCTACCAAAATGGTTCCTATACTTTTGTAACCAGTCCCTAGAATCGGTCCCGATACCGAGCCGGGTCCAAACTGGTCCCAATATTTTCATCCAAAAATCAATTTTGAATGTAAAAAAAACTTGATGTTTTTGGTAAAAAAAAAACCTGAAAATCTTGTAAAATTATTAAAAAACATGATATATAATTTAAATTTTCTTTTTAAAATCCGCCTATATATAACCGGTCATGGGCCTAGCCAGACCGTCAAATTTCCTAAGAATCATGACCGGTTAAGAACCGTTTGGTCGGTCCCGATCCCGGTTCTCCGTCGAACCTTGGGCCGGGTCGGCCCCATTTGGCCGACAGGCAGACACGACTTTATAACAAAAAAAAATACATATTTGGGCCCTCTTTCTTATGGGCCCAGTTCCCAGTCCGTAATCCGTCGACATTCGCCGTCGTCCATGGCGGATTTGCGGTTCGTCTTTTGGCGTCGATGTTGATCCTCCGTCTCAACCGCCGACTACATATACTTTGCCGCTGCTGCATGTCTTAACCGAAAGGTATGGCAGTAATCTGTAGATCAGTAGATGGTAATGCAATATTGATTGTGATTGTTGATCTAAGTTCTCAATTGAGCGGAAATTTCATGAAATTCTAATAGTTTAATGGAAGTTTATCTCGAATTTGATTCTCATCAATCATTAATATCTGAATCGAATAGATGTGTGAATTTAGACGCCAAATCGATCCACCTTTCAACTTTAGATCCGGTAGTGAATTTGAATGTGACACTCCGGTGAACAATCGTGGTCGGCGGTTGAAGTTACAATCCGTTGAGTTTTCCTGTATAGAAAATAATAATGCGTACTACAACAATATAAGTGAAGTACATAAGTCTGTTTGTTAAGAGCTTAATGAGTTTATTGGGACTAGCTTATTCGATCAGCTCTATGTAACTATTTGCTAGTGACACGATGATGTAGAAAGTGGCTTATTTATAACTTTTAATAAAAAAGAACACGTTAATTTCATCTATATATAAAAACCCTCCCAAACAAAATCTTCTGACAGATTAATCCACACAGATGTATATAGGACTTAACGAAAAACCAAACAAACAACCCCTAAGCTAGCATACCTTGCTAGGGAGAATCAATTTTTAGTTTAAACATTCAAGCACATCAGTTGCTTTCAGAATAAAAAGTTGATATTGCTATTAGTTCTTCATCTTCATTGTCTTACTTCTGATGCCATTTTTTTCAATTTTGAGTTAGAAATTATCTGGCTGCAAGCTTATCCACAGGGTGTATTCCTCTTGGACTATGGCTGTGCACAACTATATATTGTTCTTAGATGTTTCTGGAAAGAACTACTGGTATATATAATTTCAATTATAACCTGAGCATCAAATGCTATCTTGATATGATGATGGTTTTCTTGTAGAGCTGCTCCTTTTGTGTGTATGTGTTAGGACAAATGCATAGAGTGTTCATTTGCATTTGTACATACCCACCACATACATCTCAACATGAAGTAGTGCTTTACTAGTTTCGTCAACAGTTGGAACGCCGTGATGTCTGATTAAGGTACGATTCGTTTTCTATGTCTGTAGATACCATTTACTTGAGGTGGAACAATGAAGAAGAACCAGGTAAAATGAAGTCTGGAGGAAATTTGTATATAACTAAAGAATGAAAGAAACCTTAGTACTTGCAGGTTTTGATCCCAGGTTCAACGATCAATCAAGATGACAACCCAGAAAAAGAATACACCATAAGAAATTAAGAACCTTGTGAGATATATGTATGTATATATATATATATATATATATATATATATATATATATATATACACTAGTGGTGTACCCGCGCGATGCAGCGCGGATGAATCACAATTCTGAAACATTAGTTTGGCCTTGAATCATGAGTTTGTGTGATCATTTTGCAAGTCAACTAATATATAAAGTTATCGGTTAATACADTGTATTAGCCATGAAACTGGATTCATCRAAGCAATAAAGTTGATTACTTGTTGGGACTAAAGTCTCGAGGAARAGACGCTACACCTATTCAAATATAAATGTCTCTTAAAAAGCAAATCTAAATGTCCCTTAAAAAACCGAAGAAATAAATATAAAGCAAGTAATATTCAACTTAAAAACCATGAGAGGCACAAGACATACAACAGGGGTCTTTGACATTCTTTGAGAATGGGGAAGGTTTCGATTGATAAATCCATTTGGAGCACGTTGGCTAAATCCATTTGGAGCACGTTGGCCTCCACTAACTGCTAAGCAACACATGCAATCATCCGGCTAATATTGATAAGGGATCCCTTGGAACCACATTGAGACATAATTAAGTGGTTGTTCCTCCAATGTAGTTTTTCCATACAAACCTATACAAAAAATTCATTATTTACATTAGTTCAAGGCGATCAAACACTTAAAAAGGGTCATTCCTCTAAGTAACTTGGCCATACAAATCTGCCAAAGTTTTCGGTAGATACACCAGTTTGCAATTCCATCTCTCGATCAGCCATTCCCAAAAATCCTTTGGGAGGTCGACCTTTAATTTCAAACTTTAATGCAAGAAATGTGCAAGAAATGTCTTTATTTTTAAGATTTTTCTAAGTCGTCTTTTGTTAGGATTATGTTAGCCACAAAGATAATGAGAATCAATGACCTTGTTAAATAAAACTTTATGAACAAGGTATGTCCAGCTTGACTTTCAATGTATTCATGTTTGACAATCTGTTTGCAAATCTATCGAACTGTGACCAAGGTGACTATTTCAGGCTGTTTAGTGACTTAATCAATATGGGGTGATAAGATTGTGCCACCAYTATCAGCTCAAGGCAARTTAAGGCTGACATGAGTGGACAAGATCTAAATAGAACTTTTTCATAGGTCATGAATCCATCTAGAGTGTATAATCAGAAAGAAGAGAGATGATTTTCTATCACTCTAAACTCAAATTTTCCTATCTTTAAAATCTATTCGGACAATCACTTGATTTTTACCAAAAGACTGCACAAATGAAAGCTTGCCTGTCAGTACAAAAGATAGGCAGATAAATATAACACTGCCTAAACA